TTTTGAGATGGAGTCTCGCTCTGTCACCCAGGCTGGAGTGCAGTGGCACGATCTCGGCTCACTGCAAGCTCCGCCTCCCGGGTTCACGCCATTCTCCTGTCTCAGCCTCCTGAGTAGCTGGGACTACAGGCGCCCACCACCACGCCTGGCTAATTTTTTGTATTTTTAGTAAAGATGGGGTTTCACTGTGTTAGCCAGGATGGTCTCGATCTCCTGACCTCATAATCCGCCCACCTCAGCCTCCCAAAGTGCTGGGATTACAGGCCTGAGCCACTGAGCCCGGGCCCTACTTTTTGTTTTTCAGTGCTGTATCCAGTGACCTTGCTAAATTTGCTTGTTCTAACAGTTGGCCCCTAGCATCTTGATTTTCTAGGTATATTGTATTGTCTGTGTGTAATGTCAGTTTTTAAATTTCTTCTTTCCTAATTGTTATGCCTTTTGTTTCTTTTTCTTGCCTCATTATACTTGGAATAGAAGTGGTATTAGCAGGCATTTTGGTCTTGTTCCTGAAGGTAACTGTTTTGGTTTACGTTGTGTGGTCCTGTCGCGTTTGTTTCATTCTGCAGGTGCTTTTTGGTTCCTTCTCAGGGGGCAGTGCCCCAGCAGCAGGGCTCACTACAACTCTGGGACTCCTCAGGGACTCCTGGGTCTGTGAGCCATACTTGGTTGAGCAGGCTGAACACACCAGTATCCTGTCTCACCCTCAATCTTCATCTAGGACATCGCTCCTTTTGTCATGGCGGGTGGAGTGAGTTCAGGTGGGAGGACAGGAGGCAGGTGTGGCTGGAGGAAGCAGCCTGAACCTGCCTCCCTCACATTCCACAGGTGAACCCAGACACTGGCTACATCAACTATGACCAGCTGGAGGAGAACGCACGCCTCTTCCACCCGAAGTTGATCATCGCAGGTGATGCACGGGGTGGAAAGTGACCTTGTTCACCAGTAGCCTGGTGCCTCTTACAGAATGAGGATGGAAAGATGTTCCCACCCTGTTGAGCCCGCTGCTAGTTTCTGCCCTGGATAACTGAGTTTCTGGGGTCCACAGATATTAGTTTCTTTCAGGATACAGAGGTGTGTTTGCTGCTTTTTGTGCTACGTGGATTAAGATCTGAGACTGTTCTCAGAGAAGCATCTAGAAATGTCAGGCCCTGACTGACATTGGCAGTAGTAGTTGGGGGCAGTAGTAGTTGGGGAAATCTCAACCACCAAGACGTTGAAGAGTCAGACAGAGTGGTTGCCTTTAGCACAGAAGTGCTTTTTGAGGGCATTCTCCATTTTTGCTCTGAGATTTTAGGGGAAGAAATCTCTGGGCTTTCAGATCTGCATATCTAGAGGCCACTGTGAAGCCAACTCAGCTGGCCCGTGGACATCTCTGATGCAGCTGTGTCACTCTTCCTGTCTCAGGAACCAGCTGCTACTCCCGAAACCTGGACTATGCCCGGCTGCGGAAGATTGCAGATGAGAACGGGGCGTATCTCATGGCGGACATGGCACACATCAGCGGGCTGGTGGTGGCTGGCGTGGTGCCCTCCCCATTTGAACACTGCCACGTGGTGACCACCACCACTCACAAGACCCTGCGAGGCTGCCGAGCTGGCATGATCTTCTACAGGAAAGGTGTGCTCCCGAATGTTGGGTACAGACGGGTACCGTGGTTTACATTTCTCCTGTGGGGTTCAGATTCAGTTGAGGGAGCTGGGAAAAACTCTGACCTGGGATCCCTGGAAAATCTTAAGATCCCAGTCCCTTAAAGAGCTGCTTAGGAAGAAGCAGTGACAGGCTTTACATAAAGGATTCCCGGCAGGGCGTGAGGGCTCACACCTGTAATCCCAGCAGTTTGGGAGGCCGAGGCGGGCGGATCACAAGGTCAGATCGAGACCATCCTGGCTGACACGGTGAAAACCCCATCTCTACTAAAAACACAAAACATTAGCCGGGTGTGGTGGTGGATGCCTGTGGTCCCAGCTACTTTGGAGGCTGAGGCAGGAGAATGGCGTGAACCTGGGAAGCGGAGCTTGCAGTGAGCCAAGATCGCGTCACTGCACTCCGGCCTGGGTGACAGAGCGAGACTCCGTCTCAAAAAGAAAAAGAAAAAAAAGAAAGGATTCCCCAGAAGGAGGCCATCAGCCACAGCTCCTGCTTCACTTTTGTGCGTCCAGGTCCTAGGAACACAGGAGGGGGATCAGCAACCACTATGTGTTAGGATGGTGCCGGTCGCTGAACTAATCCTTCCCTCGAGAGGCAGGTGTTTGAATGAAAGGAGGGTACATGGCTGGCTGGGGGCTACTGGGAGGCCTCACAAGGCTGCATTATTCTGGTAAACTTACAGTGGTCCGTCATGTTTCTCAAAGACAAAGACTCACAGTAGTCAAACTTGAAGACATGGATGTATAAACATTAATATCATCTTAGTGAAGGTTTTTCTTTCCGTTACCTTATAACCTGCCCCTAGGCACTCCCCTTATTTTCGAATTCCCTTACCTGGGAAAGCCTGTTAGTGGTCAGGTCATCATTTAGCCTATGGTGAGACTTGATGCGTCAACTTTGCATCGGCAGAGACACCAGCCCACTGGTGACTATATTACTCTTACCTGATGCAGGGTCTTCTTGCCCCGCCCCTGGCTGGCACTAGACACAGCCACATGCCCCCTCAGCTTCTCAACACCCCATTGCCTCTCTGCTCCTCTGAGCACCATCTTTAGCTGTGCTGATGTTTCTGAGGCAGGTAGCCATTCCCACCTGCCCAGGAGTCATTTGGTTTTTTCCCCCACTGTGTGTTGATGTGATTCATTTCACCCAGTGCTGAGGGATTCTGGAGCCAGCCTGTCAGAGCAAATACTTGCTCCGCTGCACACCCGCTGTATGACTTTGGGCTGGTTGTGCAGCCTCTCTGTGCCTCATTTCCTCACCTCTAAAGTGGGGACTGTAATAATAGTACCTATCCCTTTCGACTGCTCTTTTGAGGATTAAATGAATTTATGTAAAGTGATTAGAGCAGTTCTTGGCTCACTAGAAGCTCTGGATAGATGTTAATTATTACCGATTATGACTGAATAGTAGCTATTATTGATGGTTAACTTTTTCTCAGAAAGGAACCTTATTCTTCATCTTTAGCCACATGAGCTTTGTCTTCAGCACATCTTGGAGATTCTTTACATTTTATTTTTGGGGACAGGTCTCAGTCTGTCACTCAGGCTGCAGTGCAGTGGTGCAATCAAAGCTCACTGCAACTTCAACTCCCTGGGCCCAAGCAATCCTCCCACCTCACCTCCCACCTCACCCTCCCATGTAGCTGGGACCACAGGTGCGTGCCACCATGCCTGGCTAATTTTTAAATTTTTCTGTGGACATGGGTTCTATCTTTGTTGCTCAGGCTGGTCTTGAACTCCTGGGTTCAAGTGATCCTCCTACCTCTGCCTCCCAAAGTGCTGGGATTACATGGACATTTTTTTTTTTTTTTTATACCCCGGAGATGGAGTTTCGCTCGTCGCCCAGGGTGGAGTGCAATGGCGCAATCTCGGCTCACTGCAACCTCCACCTCCCAGGTTCAACCCGTTCTCCTACCTCAGCCTTCCGAGTAGCTGGAATTACAGGTGCCTGCCACCACGCTCAGCTGATTTTTGTATTATTAATAGAGACAGGGTTTCACTATGTTGACCAGGCTGGTCTTGAACTCCTGACAGTTGATCCACCTGCCTCTGCCTCCCAAAGTGCTGGGATTACAGGCATGAGCCACCGCGCCCAGCCACATGGACATTTCTTTAAGGAAAGATGTCCAGGGCAAATTCTTGAATTCTTGGTTACAATGTTAGTGGAGGGAAATTTCTGGTTTTTTTTTTTTTTTTTTTTTTTTTTTTTTTTTTGAGACAGAGTGTCACTGTGTCACCCAGGCTGGAGTGCAGTGGCGTGCTCTCAGCTCACTGCAACATTTGCCTCCCGGGTTCAAGCGATTCTTCTGCCTCAGCCTCCTGAGTAGCTGGGACTACAGGTGCACACTACCACGCCCAACTAATTTTTGTATTTTTAGTAGAGATGGGGTTTCGCCATGTTGGCCAGGCTGGTCTCAAACTCCTGACCTCGTGATCCACCCGCCTTGGCCTCCCAAAGTGTGGGGATTACAGGTGTGAGTCACTGCGTCTAGCCTGTCCTTTCATTTTTAAGGCCTTGTTATAGTCGTGTTAAGAAGAGATGCCATCAGAGGAGGCAGGTGAACAGCTGAGGTGCTAAAACCAGCATTCTAGCCAGAGTCATCCATAATGTCCTCGTTTCCAAAGAATAAGGATACTGGTCTGCCCTCAGGAGGCAAGGGCCCCCGTCTGCTCCGCTGTGTTACAAACCAGTTCCCCATGCCAGGATAAAGGCCAGGCTTGTGCTTGATACTTCCCTGGCCAGTCTGGGTTTGAGCCTAAAACGAAAAAGAGGGGACAGCCCATACGATCCCATTGTGATGTTTTTCTTCCTCTAGGAGTGAAAAGTGTGGATCCCAAGACTGGCAAAGAGATTCTGTACAACCTGGAGTCTCTCATCAATTCTGCTGTGTTCCCTGGCCTGCAGGGAGGTCCCCACAACCACGCCATTGCTGGTAAAACATCATCTGCTTCTGCTCATCCTATGACCCCTAATTCCCATCTCACCTGTCCTCCAAAATCGTGTGCCAGGACTTCCACACTGGGGAAAAAGCTGGAGGGCTGTCTCTGTCCAGGAGATGCCAACACAGAGTAGGGCATGGTTGAGACTGGCCTAAGGTAGGGACAGTAGGGAATGGCATCCACTCCATGTGTACGGCCACCCAGAGGCAAACCTGTGGGTCAGGCTGGGTTTTGTAAAGTACGTGGAGCCCTCTTAAGGAAGGAATCTGACAGTTAGGAGAGGGCAAAGCACAGGTGAGAGAGATTGGGGTCCAAACCCTGCAGGATGAGCCCCCTTGCCCTTGATGGACCTGGCCTGTGGTGGTGGAGGCCCCTGTGTCTGAGCCTCACACCCTGCACCAGTGCCATGTCAGTGACTCCTGAGTCAGATTCCATGACTGCCCAGCAGGTTCTCATTGACTTGTTCTTTTTCTCTGTCTACAAGTAGCTTAGGACATTTGTGATGACTCAAGAGTTATCCCACTGCCTTCGTGGAACAAGGACATTGGTAGAACTCATTCCCGCTAAGGGGCTCAGGATGAACTCATTCCCGCTAAGGGGCTCAGGATGAAGGTGTAGCTTCTCGGTCAGGAGACGCAAGAGCACTTCTAGAGAGGAACCTGGGGACAGCAGCGATCGGGAGATATCGGGCATAGGGGTGGAAGGAGCTGGGGTCCCAGGCGTGTTCTCACGTTCTCCCGTCACACCTACACACTTGGCACCCACGGCTGCTTCAACTCTGGGATGCAGGGATCACCCCATCCCCAGCTGCTCTGGACGCCCTTTCCAGTTGTTTTCACAAGTATCGATAGGCGGCTCTGTGTGCGATGCAGGCCTGTGGGTTCTCCTTATCCTCCATTCTCTGTGTCCCTTGAAGCAGCCCTCAGGACTGAATGCGAGGTACCAGATGAGTCTGAACGGTGGTGCAGGGTAGGACGAAGGCTGCACCTCCTACCTGCGCTCTGACCTGAGAGAGCTGCATAATCTGGCGTCAAGAGCATGAGCTCTTAGGGCTGCTAAGTAATCGTTTTCACACATCAAGATTAAAAAGGATGTAAAATCCATCTTGCTTAACAGCTTTGGTATGGTAATGTTAGCACAGAACTTCCACGCTTAGGGAAACTTCCACGCTTACCTCAACAGCAGTTCCTCAGAGAAGCATATCAGCTGGGCGCAGTGGCTCATGCCTATAATCCCAGCGCTTTGGGAGGCTGAGGCGGGCGGGTCACTTGAGCCCAGGAGTTCGAGACCAGCCTGGCCAACATGGAGAAACCCCGTCTCTACTAAAAATATAAAAAATTAGCCAGGTGTGGCCGGGCACAGTGGCTTACGCCTATAGTCCCAGCACTTTGGGAGGCTGAGGTGGGTGGATCACTTGAGGTCAAGAGTTCCAGACCAGGCTGGGTACAGTGGCTCACGCCGGTAATCCCAGCACTTTGGGAGGCCGAGGCGGGCAGATCACGAGGTCAGGAGATCGAGACCACGGTGAAACCCCATCTCTTCTAAAAATACAAAAAATTAGCTGGGCACGGTGGCAGGTGCCTGTAGTCCCAGCTACTCAGGAGGCTGAGGCAGGAAAATGGCGTGAACCTGGGAGGCGGAGCTTGCAGTGAGCTGAGATTGTGCCACTGCACTCCAGCCTGGGCGATGGAGCAACACTCCGCCTCAAAAAAAAAAAAAGAGTTCCAGACCAGCCTGACCAACATATAGTGAAACCCTGTCTCTACTGAAAAATACAAAACTTAGCTGAACATGGTGGCACACGCCTGTAGTCCCAGCTACTTAGGAAGCTGAGGCAGGAGAATCGCTTGAACCTGGGAGGCGGAGGTTGCAGTGAGCCGAGATCACGCCACTGCACTCCAGCCTGGGTGACAGAGTGAGACTCCCATCTCTCAAAAAAAAAAAAAAAAAAAAAAAATTAGCCAGGTGTGGTAGGATGTACCTGTAGTCTCACCTACTCAGGAGACTGAGACAGGAGGATCATCTGAGCCCAGGAAGTCAAGGCTGCAGTGAACTGTGATCATGCCACTGCACTCCAGCCTACGCAATGGGAGTGAGACCTTGTTCAAAAAATATAAAAATAAAAAATTTTTTTGGCTGGGCATGGTGTTCATGCCTGTAATCCCAGCACTCGGGGAGGCCAAGGCAGGTGGGTCACTTGAGGTCAGGAGTTCAAGACCAGCCTGGCCAATATAGTGAAACCCTATCTCTACTAAAAATACCAACAAAAATTAGCTGGGCATGGGCGTGTGCTTATAGTCCCAGCTATTAGGGAGGCTGAGGCAGAAGAATCACTTAAACCTGGGAGGCGGAAGTTGCAGCGAGCCAAGATCATGCCACTGCACTCCAGCCTGGGCAACAGGAGTGAAATTCCATCTCAAAAAATAATAATAATAAATTTTTAAATATATCATCTTGGAGGAAAATGTAATCCAACCCAAAAGCAAGGGGTGACATTGAAAAGCAAGGAAGCTTGAGTGAAAACGGGAATGTTGTTTGACTCATCATCTGTGTATGATTTTATCCTAGTCCCCTGACCTATTGTCTCTTCCTGTCCAGGGGTTGCTGTGGCCCTGAAGCAAGCTATGACTCTGGAATTTAAAGTTTATCAGCACCAGGTGGTGGCCAACTGCAGGGCTCTGTCTGAGGCACTGATGGAGCTGGGCTACAAAATAGTCACAGGTACAGACACAGATGGTGTTCAGCAGGCCTGTTCTTGTGGTTGCATTAGGGCTTGCTCCTTACTTTGTGCAACCGGGATGTGGCCCAGGCTCTGCTGCTGCAGCTGCAATGACTGGGGCCCACGTTGGGAGGAGGTCAGCCTCACCTCCAGCTGGAAAGCCTCCCCCTGCCTCAGACCAGCCAGCTGCCCCCTTGGGTGAGCCACAGATGTTGGGAATAGTGGCTGTCATTGGTCACCAGCATAAGGACTGCATGTCCTCAGAACAGCTTTGTAGGAGGATGACCTGAGGCTCACGAGAGGTTGGACTGTAGTGGTCACACACCCGGTAGGTGGCAGAGCCAGGATTCTGTGGTGATGCCTGGCACTGTGCCATGGGAGTGTCTTCTCTCACCCCGCTGAGCTGGGTGCACGGGCTGTCCCCTCCCAGTTTGCTGCATGTTCCTGGGGAGTTGGCTTGCTATAGCCATGTTTGGATCTGTACATTCTGGAGCTGTGGGCTGTGAATGAGATGGACTTCCCAGGTCAGGGCCCCACTGTGGGGTGCCATCCACCTCACAGCCACTGCAGGTTTCCACGGGGAGAGCGCGTTTTTTTTGGCGGGCAGCATACTCGATCCTCCTGAGGAAGGGCGACTTTATACCGAGTCCCACGAGACTGCCGGTTGTGCTAGCAGTGGTGTGGTCCAGGAATGTGGGTCCTGCTGTGTGTAGACCTGAGTGCCCACTCTCTGCACCATGCCCTTTGCCCTTTACAGGGATCACAGGACCCCTGGTCTAAGGAGTGGGGCTCCCACCCAATCCTGCGTGTGCGGCAGCGCCTGGAAAGGCTGGGCCAGTGGTGTCTCCTCAGCAGTACCAGCCACACCCTCTTTTATGTTCTACTTCACTTACTTTCTGTTCTCCCTTCATCCTCCATGTCTTCAAATAACAAAGCCCAAGAAGTCCTCGTGTGGACTGTGACCTTCAGGGTGCTTTAGCTCAGGAGTCCGCAACCTCCAGGCCACGGACTAGTACTAGTTTGTGGCCTGTTAGGAACCTGGCTGCATAGTAGGAACTGAGCGGGGCCGAGAGCATTGTCACCTGAGTTCTGCCTCCTGTCAGATCAATGACAGCATTATATTCTCATAGGAGCTGAACCCTGTTGTGAACTGCACATGTGAGGGATCTAGGTTGGGCCTCTTTAGAGAAACTATCTTTTTTTTCCTTCTGATTATACCTGCATCCTTCTGAGAATCTAATGCCCGATGATCTGAGGTGGAAATTTCATCCCAAAACCATCCCCCAACGCCATCTGTGAAAAAACTGTCTTCCACAGTTCCTGGTGCCAAAAAGGTTGGGGACCACTGCTTTAGGTCCCTGTTTCTCAAACTTGGATGTGCACACCACCCCTGGGGCTGCTGGTACGATGCAGATTCTGACCAGGTCTTGGGTGATGCTGGTCTGGGAGCCACCCTTGGAGTTGTGAGGGTTTAGGCCATAGTCCCTGTCACCATGGGCATCTCATGGCATGGGCCTGCCCTCTCCCTGGTGACTTTGTCATTGTCACTCTACCCTCTGAGGGCCTGATGCACACGGCTGAAATAGACAATGCTTGTGAATGCCCGCTTTGGTGCCTGGCACTGTGAGAAGCACTGTGTCCGGTATCTTACTTAAACCTCATGACAGCCCTGTGAATTATTGGTGTTTTTGTTACAAATGGGCATCTGAGGTTTCACAATGTTGAGCTGCCTGCCTAAAGCCACACAGCAAGTGGGTGGGCACAGCTGGGGGGCTGCAAAGCCAAGCTAGAGCCCTAGCTCGCCCACATCTTCAAAGGGATCCCGGCAACACAGCCCAGAAGCAGAGGCCCTAGTGCCGTCAGCACCCAAGGCAATACCCCGGCTTAATGAAGGTTCAAAGTGGAAGGATCCTCCTGTGTGACCTCGGACCAGGTGCAGAAAACTCTGTTTGCCTTGCTGTTGTCACCTTACCACTTTGATAATACCATCAGCCTCAAGGGATCCGGGAAAAACCTACCACAGGCTACAGTGTCTGGCACCTAATGTGCTCCGTGAGCATGCCCCTTACCCCCCAGACAAAGTAACTTGAACCACTGCCCAATACTCATGCTGCCTTCGGGGGAGTCTTTACCATCAATGTTAGAGAAATGCCCAAGCAACGTGTCAGAGAAACAAGACAGGAGCAGCCTGAGGAAGCTGTCCCTTCCCAATGGGAATGTCAGGCCCTCTGCTGTATGATCAGTTACCCCTTTCAAAAGTGCTCTATCCTTCCTTTCACGTTCTTAGGCACGCACATCTCTCGTGGGCATTAGAATCCCAGGCCATGTGGTGGGGGTGCTCACCTTCCTGACCTCATCTGCTTTGGCCGCCTTCACCCTTGCCTTCATGTCACAGATTCCTTCACGGCATAGAATTAGCCTGCATTTCTATGTGTCCAACTTTGTTTCCAGGTGGTTCTGATAACCATTTGATCCTCGTGGATCTCCGTTCCAAAGGCACAGACGGTGGAAGGGCTGAGAAGGTGCTAGAAGCCTGTTCTATTGCCTGCAACAAGAACACCTGCCCAGGTGAGAATCATCCTTGGCCTTCTCCTTCACTCCTCTCCCATCTGCATTTCTTCTGGCCAAAGTTATAGCTGATGAAGATACTGGCTCTGGAGACAGACCTCAGATAAAAACTGGAGTAGGGATGGGGCGCGGTGGCTCACGCCTGTAATCCCAGCACTTTGGGAGGCCGAGACAGGCGGATCACTCGAGGTCAGGAATTCAAGACCTGCCTGGCCAAAATGGTGAAACCCTGTCTCTACTAAAAATAGAACAATTAGCTGGGCATGGTGGTGCATACCTCTAATCCCAGCTACTTGGGAGGCTGAGGCAGGAGAGACACTTGAACCTGGGAGGCAGAGGTTGCAGTGAATGGAGATTGCACCACTGAACTCCAGCCTGGGCAACAGAATGAGACTCTGTCTAACAAACAAACAAAAAACTGGGCTGGGCACGGTGGTTCACACCTGTAATTCCAGCACTTTGGGAGGCCGGGGTGGGTGAATCACGAGGTCAGGAGATTGAGACGGCTAACGGTGAAACCCCGTCTCTACTAAAAATGCAAAAAATTAGCCGGGCGTGGTAGCACACGCCTGTAGTCCTAGCTACTCGGGAGGCTGAGGCAGAAGAATCGCTTGAACCTGGGAGGCAGAGGCTGCAGTGAGCTGAGATCACACCATTGCACTCCACCTTGGGCGACAGGGTGAGAGTGTCTCAGGAAAAAAAAAAAAACTGGAGCAGGGGCGGGGACTATACCTTGGCTGTCTTTCGGCTGCACCTTTGTACTTGGCCTTGACCCTGCCAGGGATCAAAAAGACTGATGTGGAGCCGTTGGAGGTGGTACATTCATTAGATGAGGGAGGTCAGGGCCTCTGGAATCCAGAGGCTGCATTTTTCTCTGGGTTGTTAACAAAATATTGATGACGCATCTCAGACCCAGACAGATGTTAACCTCATTTTTAGGAGCATGGGGCACATCAGACCACTTTGTGTACTAGTAATTAAGTAAGAATGGCCAAAACGTGGTTGTGCCTCCTTGTGCCTCGCGTTTTATTTTAGTTTCTGAATCAGTTGTACTCTCCTTGCTACAGACAGCCAGTATCCTCAGTCCAGTTCTCTTTTGCCCACGTCCCTTTTTAAATGCACCATTGTCACAGTGGTGACAATGTGGCTTAGGGACAGAGCCCCATTTATCTTGTAGGTGACAGAAGTGCTCTGCGGCCCAGTGGACTGCGGCTGGGGACCCCAGCACTGACGTCTCGCGGACTTTTGGAAAAAGACTTCCAAAAAGTAGCCCAGTTTATTCACAGAGGTAAGGATAAACTTTTGGAAGTTGCCACATCTTATTGTGTGTATTTAGTTTCTGATTGTGATGAGTAGCTGAGATCCTGCCACTGAAAGACAATTCTGCACCAAGGCTGAGTGTTGGGGTGGGAGACAGCAAAAAACACGTAAATCACCTTGTCTGAGAGGTTTATAAATTTGGGCTACCCAGGACATCTAAGGGTGGGTGCATCCGAGAGTAACTGAGGTAAGCATGGAGACCTTGTGCCCTGCCGCGCTCCCCAGCTGGGGGACATTCTGGCAGTTGTGCCTCGGCCCCCAGCCATTGCGCCTCACTTGGTATGTAGTGTGGGGTGACTCACTTGTGTCTTGTCGCACAGGGATAGAGCTGACCCTGCAGATCCAGAGCGACGTTGGTGTCAGAGCCACCCTGAAGGAGTTCAAGGAGAGACTGGCAGGGGATAAGTACCAGGGGGCCGTGCAGGCTCTCCGGGAGGAGGTTGAGAGCTTCGCCTCTCTCTTCCCTCTGCCTGGCCTGCCTGACTTCTAAAGGAGCCGGTCCACTCCGGACCCGCCTGGCGCCACAGAGGAAGCCGCCTGCTGGAGGACCCCCACTTGAGAAATGGATGAGCTGCTCCACAGGGGAACCGTTGACACTTGGGCCCTCTGAGGGGGTTTCTTTTGGACTTTTTTCATGTTTTCTTCACAAATCAAAATTTGTTTAAGTCTCACTGTTAGTAATTCTGGGACAGGTTATTAATTAGAGGATTTAAATTTGAACCTGGCTTTCTCACAGCTGGATATAATTCTAGAAAAATAAAATACTATGTAGCCACTTGGCCATAATCATTTAGACCGTGGTGTAGGGCAAAGCTATTAGGAAGATTCTAGCGTTTTACTCTCCCTGGCTTTCCTCCGCCTTGCTGCAACAGAGAGGAAATGCCCATGTCCACAGCTTGTACCCACTGCCCCTCTCACTATCTTGTTATCCAGTGGCATGCCAAAGGAGAACTGAATTCGCCTCTGAACCTTCTGCTGTAAATCAGAAGTGTATGTTAGCCAAGTGTACACAAGATGCACCCAGTATGGTGGGAGGGTTTTGCTGTCAGTAACTCAAAGTGTGGTGTAGAAATGGTCTCCTCCCTCCATCCTGGGAAGTCGCAGTCCCATCCTGGTGTGAGAATCAACCAGGCTTTCCTGCTCCACCTGAGATAACCAACTCCTTCCCGTAATCAGGAAGCCAAATGTCACCTTCCCAAAGAAACTTTATTTTCACGTAGCTGAAGTGCAAAACATAGATGACCATTTTTAATAAGCACAATCAAATTTTTAACCACAGAATGTCTACAAGAATTATAGCTTTAAAAAATACAACCAATTTTCATATTTCAAAAATATTTGAACTCAAATAAATTAATTTCTTAAAAAGTACACTTCTCATACTATGTGTTTGGCATTGACTCTGGTTAACTCTTGTGCAGCAACACCTACGAGATGCTATCACACACGCGCCAGCCGCACTCCTGCACCAGCCGCTGCAACAACTGCAGCTCACATGGTGGCGGGGACTCACATTCACAAGACGGGACGGGAACATGCAGTAATAAAATAGCTTTTTAAAAAATAACACATATGAATTCATCACATAGGACTATGCTTTTCACTGCAACCTTGAAGGTGGCATTTATCTCAATCTGTGACTCCAGCTATTTAGTGGCAGACAATCCCGGTGAGGCAGCCTGCGGTCCCACCTTGTAGGTGGCAGTCCCTGCAATCTGGGGTCTAGCCTGTTGGCGTTTGCTTTATTGTGGGTGGAGCAGCTGCTACAGAATCCGTGAGTTGTGGGTGACTCAACTTATTTCTGCTACCAAAAGAAATGAGTGACCAGTCCCTACATTTCTGCTACCAAAGTGGTCTTCAATTCAGGGGCCTGAACCCTCCCCAGCTGGAGACAAGCTGCCATCTCCAGGGCTCGCTGTGTACAGCCTCCACTCTTGAGCTGAATAAGCACTCCCAAGAAGCTGGGCCCCTACCAACAGATTAATTGGCTGCAGAGTGTTCATCCCCTCCCCACACCCCCATCCACTCTTGCCACCTCCTTGCCACTGCTTTAACCAAACCTTAATGAGGTAAGGCCAGGTTAGGTCAGGGCTCGAAGGAGAATGGACTCAGGAAAACTTAGTTTGCCCAGTCTTGTCAGCTGAGATTGGTTTTGCTTTCCAGCCAGAAGTAGAAACTTGATGCCTTTTCCTTTTTGCAGTGTTAAAATCGTATCTCCAGTTTTATTATGTTCCATCACAGTATTGGGGCAAAGCCAGAAAGCTGGCTGGTTTACTTCAAAGCACAAACCAAGGCACTGTCTTCTGTGCTTTTCGGGGAGGTGGGAACGTAAAGGAGACTGCCCACTATAGGGGCTCAGTTCCCCCAAAGGCCTTGCACACCTTCTGATAAACCCCCTGGCTGAGACAATGCTACTGGCTGTGCAAAGACGTGACAGCAGCACTAGACGCTGACCCAACATGCAGTGCTGGGCCTGGGCGGCGGGGCATGTCCAGCACGCGGGCAGCAGTCAGCGCATGCAAGACATTCAGTGAGCAGAGGGCTGCCCTCGGCCTCCAACTGCAGCCACCCTGGTTCGTGAAATGAAATTGGTGGGCCTTCCTAGGATTGTGAAATGGGACTTGTCGTTTGTGTGAGGTTGAAATCTACTATACTTTGAATATGGCAACTGTTTTCAACCACTGAAGCAAAGAAGGTAAAGGCCAGATGGGGAATGAAAGGTAAAGTACTGCGGTCTATTTCCAAATTTGGGAGCAATGTGTGTAACTTCAACTGTTGGAGTAAATGAGGTATGGAAAAGCCACAATTTCTAAAATCCCAAGGTTCCACCAAAGGAGTGAGGTACCTGGGGAAACAGGCGTGAGGCAGCAGCTCAGGCTGATGTGTCCTGTGCGATATAAAAAGCTGTGGCCTGATCTCTAAAGTGGGGCTTTTGAAAATGACCAGTCCACAACTACGCGCGTAGCTAGTTTAACCTAGACTGCTTCAGAAACGAGGGAGGGGGATAATGGACTGGAGGAAAAGCTTGACACAAAACTCAAGACAACCAGTTTCAGTACCTGGGCCCTCAAAGCAACAGTGAGGACTGAGGAAGTAGCAAGGGGCACTGATGTCATCTATTTTCCGGGAAGTGTTATTTTTAATGGTTTCATTAAAAACTGATTAACCTTCTACTGGAAGAATACCTCAAATGAAAATTCTTTTTTTTTTTTTGAGACGGAGTTTTCGCTCTTGTTGCCCAGGCTGGAGTACAGTGGCGCAGCCTCGGCTCACTGCAACCTCTGCCTCCCAGGTTCAAGTGATTCTCCTGCCTCAGCCTCCCAAGTAACTGGGATTACAGGCACTCACTACCAGACCTGGCTAACTTTTTTTGTATTTTTAGTAGAGACGGGGTTTCACCACGTTAGCCAGGCTGGTCTCGAACTCCTAACCTCAGGTGATCCGCCCGCCTCGGTCTCCCAAAAGTATTGGGATTACAGGCACAAGCCACCGCGCCAGGCCTCAACTGAAAATTCTTAATGAGATTAGTCCCACTGCATAGTAGGTTTCAGTTCCCCAGAGTGAAGGGGGCATAGGGAGGGGCAGGGCTTCCCAGTGTTAACTGCCTCTGCCCAAGTTATGACTCAGTCCTGGTACCACTTCAAGATCCCTTTGAAAGGAAACATACTTTGCATCAAGTAATCTTTTGAAACTGCCACATTGAAAAGTTAGTTTTTAACCCAAATATAAATCTGGGAGCTCAAACACTAGTCACGAAGCCATCTTTACTTAATGAAGAACAACCTTGAGGGAGACTGGCCCTGCTTGCCACTTCTATGGCTGCCCCTGTGACAGTCTGTTCTGTTCATGCCCTAGCAGCCTTTTGCCTTAGGTCTCAGGACCTTCTGAACCACCCTTGAGGGTGTGTGCCAGCAAATACCCCCAGTGGACTTCTACTTAGGACCACTTGAGTGCACAGCTTCAGCTTCTAGAAGGCCAAGTGTGGCTGCAATTCAGGATCTGCCCCAAACTCATGAGCCTTTCCCAAGTTTCCTAGGCAAGAGTATGAGCTGTGAATTTCTGTGTTAGGGACAGGAATGCCACAGTGGTGGGGCCAATGATCACTTTCTGACCTTCCTGCCTTCTCAGATAAAATGTTGCACAGTTATGGCCATGGAGGCGTAAGTAGACAGCAATTAGCCAGCCAGTGAGAAAACAAATCAGCATCTAGAACAGGAGGAGGGGGAGCCGTACAGATAAGGGAGCCCACGATGAGAAGCAGGCTCCCTGCACAGCCTCTGCCTCCGGCGCAAGTAACAGACATTTCACATTTAAAGGCTGCCAAGGTTTTGCTGGCGACTCTCCTGTCTGTGAACATGTGCAACAGGCACAGGTACAGAGAACCAATGAGATGTAGGCAGCGCCATCTGCCACAAAAGGTTCTCCATCACAGCCCCAGGAGCAAAATCAAACACCTCTGATGGGAGCAAGGACCCTGAACAGAAGCCAACGGCTGGAGCCAACGGGCCATGCCCTTACAACAAGGACTTGGACAAGGAGGGAACCACTGGAGTGACGTGATGCAAGCCCTCTTTGGTCACTCTCTGGAGCCAATGGGCCATGCCCTTGGTAACAAGCGATCTGGACAAGGAGGGAAAATCCACTGGAGTGGGACGTGATGCAAGCCCTTGGTCACTCTCGGCTTCCACCAGAGGGAACCACTGGAGTGACGTGATGCAAGCCCTCTTTGGTCACTCTCGGCTTCCACCGGGGTCTCTGCCTCCTTGATGAGAAGAGAAGCTGGCTGGCTCCGTGATGACCTCGAGTGCATACTACAGGCCGATGGGCAGGCCGGGCCTCAGCAGTAGGTGCCAACAGATGCACACCCAGGGCTGATTCAGGTCCATTTCAGCACAATTTTTGTGGAACAAATCAAAGAAGCAGTAATACCCAGAGCTGTCCCCACTTAGGGAATAAAATTTTCAAGGCTGCAAGAAACCCTCTGTCTACAAACCAGTGGCCATTGCCTAAGGAGGCTCGGGGAGGCCAGGGGATCACTGTCAGTGGGACAGGTGCTGGCGGAACTAGGGCTGTCTCCTTCCCAGTCTCAAACTTGTCCTCAGAAGGGAGACTCAACTGGGGATGGCCACGAGCTGTGGTGACTGAGGTGCACACAGCCTCCCAAAGGCAGAACCTGAAGAGCGTCACGTGGTAGCTCATCCAGGAAATCCATGCCATTTGAGTTCTCATCGGCTGGGATGACCACCTGCACCAGCTGACTCAACAGAACCGTGCTGTCCAGTGCCCACGAGACCCAGTGAGAGGTAGTGAAGTGGTTGCAAAGGTTTGTGTGGATGGGAGCTGCAGTGTGGCCTCTGCCATGTTCACACGGGTCTGCAGACCTTCCCCACAAGGACAGTCAGTGCTCACGCACTCTGGCCAGCAGGAGCCAGTGGGCCACCCAGGAGGGCTGCTGACTGCTCCTCCCTTGCGTGACGGGGATGGCCTCATGGCACCTCAGCCCTGCTCTGCCTGCTGTGCTCTCCAGCCCCCAGGTCCTCACCATTGGCTTTGGTCACTTGTGCCCGCTTCACACTGGGACTAGGGAACGCTCTGCTCGTTCCTGGCGAAAGAGCGTAGTGGGTGAGTCCCAAGGCCCGCTCACAGGCATTTCTCTCCCAGGTAAAGGTGGTGAGGACAGGGTACAGGGTGCTGCTCACGCTCTGTGGCCCTGAGGCCAAGGCTGCATGTTTCCCACAACCCAAAGGGTGGCAGCCTTTCTCCCTCCCACTGGCTGGTCCAGGGCCTCCCCTGGGACAGCAGGCTCCAGGAGGCAAATAAAGGTCTGCATCTGGGTCTGAAGGAGGTGATGGGCGTTCTGCCCTCCTGTTTTCCATCAAACCACAACAGTTACCAAGCTGCCGCCCTCGCTCATTTTGCCACTCAAGTGTCCGGCAATGCTGAATATGGTCAGTGTGCTCCTCCCATCAGGTTTTGGCCTTCCTGCCCTCACCCTACCCCACCAAGGGACTGGTGGCTTCCCTTCTGCCCTGGCTGCCAGTCCTCAGAAAACCAAGGCCCCCTCTACAACCAGGGGCCTCTCTTCACCAGGGAGCCGAATGTAGCTGTCACCATCCCTCCAGACGCCTTTAGAGGGACACAGGCTCCACTTCTGCCCACGTCCAACTTGAAAACTACCAGGAGCCACGTGGGAACCATGCTGCCAGACACCAGAAACCTCAACAGTCCAGTTCAGGCAACTGTTTGGTCATGCCAACCCCTCCCCTCCCCATACCCTGAGTCACAGGTCTTGGTCACAGTGGCTGGGACCGACCTCAGATTTTATACAAAAAGCTGGGGACATAGTCAAACCTGAGCATGGGGTGGCTGGTCCCTGGAGATTCCTGCATGTAGTGCAGCTTCAGCAGCTCAGCCAGGTACTGGACCACCCTGACATCCTCATTCACCAGACCCAGGGTCAGCTTCAGGAAGCTCGCCTGGCGGCTGGCTAGCAGCTCCTCTGTCTCCTTGTCGTGCGTAGGCAGGTGCAGGTGGTGGCAGAAGGTGTAGAGGAAGGCCTTGGAGCAGAGCTGAGTGAGCATGCTCTGGACATGCAGGTAGTAGGTGCTGCCCCGCTTGATCTGTGTGCGGTGGTCTGCCAGGCGGGGCACTAGGGTGCCTCTGTAAAGGGGGCAGCGCAGGGTTTTGTTGTCAAGGTCCAGGATGCTCGTGTAGCGGCTGTAGCGACTCAGGGCATGAAGGGTACCGGCACCGGCAGGGGAGGCCACTCTGAAACAGACAGGCCAAGGTCAGGAGGAAGGGCAAGGGCCGGGAAAATGGAGGCAGAAGCTTGGGAGGTGAGGCCTCCTGTCCCCAGGCCAGCATCCACCTAGCCAGCATGCACTGGCTCTTCCTGAAGACAAATCTGATCATCGTGATCTTCAAAGGGCTCCTCACCACTCTTATGGTCAGGGTCAAACGCAGTGGGTGGCCCACAAAGCCCTTTCTGGTCTAATTCCTGCTGAATGGACTCTTTTTGGAGCCCTGGCAAGCTTTCAGTGGGGCCTCAAAATTAGAAACCTCTTTGTTCAGGCCGGGTGGCTCACGCCTGTAATCCCAGCACTTTGGGAGGCCGAGGCGGGTAGATCACGAGGTCAGGAGATCGAGACCATCCTGGCTCACGTGGTGAAACCCTGTCTCTACTAAAAATACAAAAAATTAGCCGGGCGTGGTGGCGGGCGCCTGCAATCCCAGCTACTTGGGAGGCTGAGGCTGGAGAATGGCATAAACCTGGAAGGTGGAGCTTGCACTAAGCCGAGATCACGCCACTGCACTCCAGTCTGGGTGACAGAGTGAGACTGTCTCAAAAACAAAACAAACAAACAAACGAACAAACAAAACCTCTTTGTTCTGCCTGAAATAACCTCTCTCCCTCTTGTATTTAATTCAAGTTAAACCATATTCAGCCTTCCCCAAGCCTCTCCTGCTTTCTTGCTGTGACCTTGGCCAAATTCATTAACCTCTCAGAGCCTCATCTATAAGATGGAGGTAACAGTTCCTACTGTCTTTATTTAGAGACAGGGTCTTGCTCTGTTGCCCAGGCCGGCGTGCAGTGGCACAATCGTGACTCACTGCAGCCTTCACTTCCTGGGCTCAAGCAATCCTCCCACCTTGGCCTCCCAAGTAGTTGGTACTACAGGCATATGCCACCACACCCAGATAATATTTTTGCAGAGAAGAAAGCTTGCTATGTTTCCCAGGCTGGTATTGAACTGCTGGGCTCAAGTGATCCTTCTGCCTTAGCCTCCCAAAGATTTAGGATTATAGGCATGAGCCACTGTACGGGCCAGTTACTACTATTACATCCCTCATGGGGTCGCTGTGGAGACAAAATGAGTGATGTTTAGGACAATGCTTGTCCTCAGTAGGCGCTGTCATCACCATCACTACTTTTAGCCTAGCACTGACCAGTGGGGTGACTGCTGTTTGTTCACTGGCTTCTCCCCACTGGACAAGGAGCTCCAAGATTCTAGAGTCCCAGAACTGCATCTGATCTGGTCTCATGTCCCAATGCCTGGCACATCAGAGCCAGGAAAAGCCAGTGTTCATTCAGTGAGGGGAGCGGTTCCTTAAACATCCTCCTGGAGCAGCTTCCTCAGAGCAGCAGGGACTGCCCTGTAGGGCCTGGACATTTAGGGTTTATGTCAGACAGGTATGGTGTAAAAAGGACTGACGGTGACTTGGGACCAAGGTAATCTCATAGTACTTTTCCCTTCTTGCGTTTTATCTTCTTGTATATTTAACAATCATTTACAGAGCATCTGTAACATCCCCGCATTGCCCTGGGAGCTAACCCTGTAATGAAGAATGACCTAGAACTCTTGTCCTGCATGAGCTCAGTCTGACTGGGAAGAAATGTGCACAAGTACAGCGAAGTGAAGGGAGATGAGGTCTCGTTCTCCTTGAGAAAGGTCGTAGTTGGGAAGACATGAGGGATTTGTAGAGTTGCCTTAGAACTGGCCCTCAGAAGCACAGAGGGCTCTAGGGACTGAGGAGGGTGTGGCAGACCAAGGCAAAAGCAAGGTCACAGAGATGGGACAGCTGAGACACAAAGGCCATGCATTCTGTATGCATCCTGACCAGAGGGACAGCGCTGGGCTATGGACCCCATGCATCCCACGGGCATGGAGGAATTGGGGCCTGCAGGTGGCTGACAGCTAAGAAAGCTCACAAGGGCAGTGAGACGCTCTCCTCAACCCATACTGCATGGCCCCTGTGTTCTGGTTCTGGGGCCTTCTCAGCTCTCTACTGCCTTCACTCTCACCTCCCAAAGCGGGGCCGGCCAGAGTCAAACACCTCCCAAGCTCTGCACATCCAGATCCACAGGTGCTGCCGCCACAGGGCACCCAGGCCTCACCTCCCACCTTTTTGCCCCTCCATCTCTGCCAGGATACCTGCTCCCAGGCCCAGCATCCCCTGATGCAGCTCTGATACTTGCCCCAACAGTAACACTTCTTTTGGAAGAAGCTGGCTATTCTAACTGTTCCTCCACTTCTGTTTCCATAAAGCTCCTCCTCAGGAAGCCAGATAACACTGGAAGGGAGAAGCCTCAGGCCTCCAGCCCCCAGGCCCACGGCACCCCAACTGCAGCTTCACATTGCACTTCCCATGTCCGCTGTGGGAGGACACCTCTATGACCAATGAGCACACAGAGGACTGGGTGAGGTGGCAGCTTGTGCAAGGTCACCAGGCTAGCTAGTGGTCAAGCCAGGACTCAACCCAGGGTCTCTGACACACGCTAGGCTAGCACTTTCTCCCTCCAGAACTGTGCTCTGCTTTTTGGTCCAGGCTTGTGACTGCTGCTTAGTAAGCAATACAGTGACTCCTGGTGTTCACTTAAAATGACGGCAGGGCCAGGTTCACGCCTGTAATCCCAGCACTTCAGGAGGCTGAGGTGGGCTGATCATTTGAGACCAGTCTGGCCAACATGGTGAAACGCTGTCTCTACAAAAAATACAAAAATTAGCCTGGCAAGGTGGCGCACGCCTATAGTCCCAGTTACTGGAGAGGCTGAGGCACGAGAATAACCTGAGCCTAAGAGGCAGAGGCTGCAGTGGGCCGAGATCACATCACTGCACTCCAGCCTGGGCAACAGAGCAAGACTCTGTCTCAAAAAAAAAAAAAAAAAAAAAAACAACACACAAAAGAAACCCGCAAATGACAGGAGACCAGCTTGGTGGTTTAGTCATCTCTTATCCCCACAGATGGCTGACCCAACTACAAGCACTTCCAGGCAGAGTGAAAAAAACCAAGGCCAAGCAAGACTGGTGTTCTGAGGTGAGAGTCCTGAGAGAGTGTCCATCATGTGAGCAGTGGGCCTGAGTGAGGAGAGACACTTCTGGACCATGGTGCTCAGAGTGCAGAGCCTCTGCAGCGCAACACCTCTGAGGACAGGAAGGTCAGAGCCACCGAAGACATCTCTCCTGCTCATGACTTTTAAAGCTGGGCCTCAGGTGGGCCCCAGTCTGCCTGCCTGTGTCGGTGCCGGTTCCACCCTCTGAGCACTTCTCAGGGCCCAGCACTGCACTGTGCTGTGCTTTTTGGATGTGCACTAAACATGGAGCCTTCCGATGGCTCTCAGGTGGGCCCCGGGAGCCCTTCAGAGGTGTTCAACACGATTGGGTGACTGAATGAATAAGATGGCTTGTCCGAATCCAGACAGCGAGTGGTGGCATACCAGGACCTGACCCAGACCACCGACTGCTCCCGCTAACTGCCACGGCCCACAACGGTTTCACCTTATGATACCCTCAGGCGGTGTCTTCTGCGCACCTCCCCCAGGAATTCTGTGGGTGAGCTGTAGTCCATCCCATTCGGCCCCGCAGGGGACCCTCCAGGGTACAGGGCTCCCCACCCCTGCCCGCCGCACCTCACGCCTGTGCAGGACGCTGGAGGCAGATGCTCCCAGCACCCAACATCTGCGCATGCTCTGAAGGTTGAAGGAGCACTTACAGGGACAGCGGCCTAACCCTTTCCCCCGGAGTCGTCTGTCCCTTCTGATGAGCCTTTTGCTTTTATAGAGGGATGCTCCCTGCAGTCTGGCTGGTGAGGGCCACAGATAAATTCCATGTCTTATCTCACACCAACCGAATCAGAACCTCTAGGGGTGTGATTCAGGAATCCATGATTTTTAAAACTTTCCCGGCTGGGCGTGGTGGCTCACGCCTGTAATCCCAGCACTTTGGGAAGCCGAGGCGGGCAGATCACCTGAGGTTAGGAGTTCCAGACCAGCCTGGCCAACATGGTAAAACCCCATCTCTACTAAAATTAGAAAAGTTAGCCGGGGGTGGTGGCAGGCACCTGCAATCCCAGCTACTTGGGAGCCTGAGGCAGGAGAATTGCTTGAACTCAGGAGGTGGAGGTTGCAGTGAGTCAAGATGGTGCCATTACACTCCAGCCTGGGGGACAATAGCCAGACTTCGTCGCAAAAAATATAAAAATAAAAACTTTCCCTAATAATTCTGACACAGCTCGGGGACAGATGGGGATTGGCAACCACCTAGGAACTGCAACCCCCTCACATGACAGACAAAGGAAATGGAAACCAGAGAGGGGGATGATTTGTCAAAAGTAACACAGTGGTAGGAACTGGGCCCTGTCTAGAAGCCAGGCTTCCTGATTCTGGCTCCACCACACCAATATGCCTCATCCCTATCTGGCCAAGGCCCTTCCCCAACACCTGGAACCAGTTACCTCTGCAAGCCAATAAGCTTCCACTTCTGAAAATCCATAATGTGCAAAGGGGAGGAGGCCCAATGTTTCACGGGCTTAGCGTAGCAGCCATAGCTGGGGACAAAGATAGCCAGTGCAGTCACAAGCTTCCTGACTATGGCCTCATCTTCCCCCAGGACCACAAGTGTCCTCCCGCTGAGCAGGGAGTAGATGGCTGGGTGGGCAAAGGGGTACTGGCGGATGAATTTTAAGGCGTTCTGGCCAGCCCTCTTTTTATGCCTATCGGAAGACGGGCTAGCAGGATAAGCAGAAGGGATCCTGTCCGAGCTGGTGGAAGCTACACTGCTCACATAGCTGGTGGTGTCTGAGTAGTTATCCAGGCTGGTCTTACTGATGTCCCGGCTAGCCAGCAGGTGGCTTGGGTCCAGCTCATAAGCGGGAAACCCTTCACAACTGTCGTCTCGGGAAGAAGGGCTGGCATTTTCCATTGAAAAGTCTACACGGAACCCCTGGTCCTTCTGCCTGTGGCGCTGTGGGGGGCTGCTCACCACTCCATCCTCGTCAGAGTGTGTGTGGGCTGGACTGGAGGGCAGCAGCAGCTGACCGTCGCTCTCCTTCCCAATACAGCAGGAGTCTATTTGTGATGGGGTGTTTTCCATGCTGCCCTCCTCCATCTCACCCAGCTCCGGAGGACTAATGCTTGCCTGGAAGTGGATGGCTCCCTCATTGCCATCTGGATATGATTCTTCTTCATTAATGGCACTTGGGTAGCTGGCCTTAAAGTCATCAGGGATGAGGGCCTCAGAGGGGCAGGTACTGAGGACTTCAATACTGTCCTCGCTGATGGTCCTGTGGCTGACTGCTTTGCTCCGGACTACCTGGGGGCTCAATGGTACCGTGAGGCTGGCCTGGCTGTCAGACTTAGAAAGCACAGACGTGGATTTCTCCGTGCCCAAAACTTCAATGCTTTCACCACTGCTGATACTCCCTTTCATATCCATATCCAGGTAGTCCAAGTTTTCCTGGGGGTCAAAACTGCTCAACTCCGTCACCTCCACTTCCTTGTACTCCTCATCTCCCAGTTCCTGCTCCATCTTGATCAGCACAGACTCCACACTGGACTTGTAAGAACCAACACTAATTAATACTTTAGGAATTGGGCATTCTTCTAGAGACCTGGAAGGCGGCCTGTCTTGACTGGGCTTAGAGGGTATGCTTTCTTGCTTCTCCACCATCCTGTCATCAACCTCCACAAAGTCTTCAAAGAGAAAGTTTGTTATGTGCTGTTGTTTTAGAAGTGCTCTATCAATCTGACTGGTCAGGAGGTAACACAGGTCTCCTCTGAACATGTGTTCAATGTGGCTGAGCTGAGTCAGGGTCTGGGTGAAATATTCAGTGTCACAGAGCTCCTCTAAGGTCTTCAACTTCTTGTCAAAACACTTCGTGGACTTTGCTTTGATAAGTTTTGGGGTGTAGGCTGGTCTGCAGGTGTAAAGGTCTGTGTCGGCAGACTCATCAGGGTTAGAGGTAGTGGATGCCTGGCTGGCCTGATCCTGGATGTGCTCCATCTCACCAGGACACAAATCACACCCCTTCAACTTCCGATGAGGGTATGAGCGGATCTGCTTCAGCAGGTCTTGATGTTCAATGATGGACTTCTCCACACTGGCCAGTTCGTTGGCTTTCTCAATTGCCTGAGATGAGTAAAAGCCTTTGTCGTTGGCTTTCTTCTGGATCTCCGTTTCTGTGTGCAGCACTGTCCTGGTGTAATCCAAGTCTTTCAGCTTTTTTTCAAGTTCCCCAGCAAATGCTTTCCTGTTGCCAGTTTTCAAGCACTCAGAAGCTCTGGAAAATTCGGCTGAAAGCTCCTGGAACTGCTGCATGATTTTATGCTGGTCTGCAGAGATATAAGCCATGCAAAAAGGCCTCACGAAGCCACGGGCCTCCAGGTCGTATAGGGTAAGGTGGTGCACGTATGCAAAGGCTCCCTCCTTGGAATCTCCCAGCACCACCTTGGAGTCCTCCACGAAGTTCAGCTTGGGGTAGGCAGATCCAGGAGGATGGCCCACGAAGGAAGCCTGGTAATCCACCGACATGATACGCAGGGAGAAGTAATTGAGATCAAAAGTGCCAAAAACTTTGGTGTCATTGGGGATGGTCAGTAACGGTTGGGGTCCCACCTGCTCAGAAAACTCGGAAATAAGAATGAAGTCCCTCGAAAACTTGGCCCCAGACAGTTTTGACCAGGGGTTAGCACCCTGGTTGGCGAAGGGGAAGAGCGGCACCGAGTACTCCTCAGGCAGGGCCGGCTCATTGTAAGGCTCTTCCTCATATTCTTCCTCTTTAGTGAAGGCCACTACGTCAGGGGCGCTGATCATATTTCCAGATGTATGAAGAAAACATTGAGAGGAAGTGGGAAAGAATGCGGGGTTAATCGACGCGCAGAAGGCAGGCCTCCGGAGAAGGAAGCGAAGCCCTTACCGCCTTCTTTGAGACTCCCCGAACCCGGGGTCCGAGGCTGCTTCTCACACACCCAAGGACTCGAACTCTAGCCGCCCCCTCGGAGTTGTAGCTCCTCTGGAGCTCTCGGAGGCCTCATGAACGCCAAGGCCGCAGGCCCAAATGCCCTTCTTTTCTTCCTCCGGCGAGCGCGGCCAGCACAAGAAACCTGCAGCGAGGTCACCTGCACTCCCTGGAACCCACGGCGACAAGCAACAGCCCTCGCTGTGAACCAGGCTTAACGCGAGGCTACGGGACGCCGCAGGGGTCAGCCAAGCGCTGCCGCCCCTCACTGCCCGAGGGCAGAAACCGTCGCGGCTCCTAGGACGCCACAACCCGGATTCAGCTACCGCGGCGCCGCCATCTTGGTGTCACATGATTCCTGGTGTCGGCGCCGCGTGACCCGGAAGCGTCCTCGTAGACTTCCGAGCAGGAGAAAAAAAAGTCATGAGAAAGAGAAGGCCTTGGATGGGAGTGTCCGGCGGCTTCCCCCAAGAAGGAGTGTGATTAACCAACCACTGCTGGGAAGGAGGGGAAAGTGGGGCGGAGTGAGTCGGGGGGGCGGGGGGTGGTAGGGGGAAACGTGCTTGGACGAGGGGCGCGGGCCAGTCTGGGAGTTGTAGTTCCAGGTCGCTGTGGGGCGCGCGCCTGGCGGAAGTGGCTGGAGAAGGCGGGCGGAAGCTCCACGCCAAGGTACTGGGTTCGGTGCTGAGGCGGCGGCTGCGACACGGAAAAGACTGAGTGACTGAAGCTCCGAAGGCCAGCAGGCTGGTGGGGACGTGACCGAAGCGAGGCTCTAGTTCCTTTTCGGTGGGCGCCAGTTGAGCATCGCCTCTGGCTTCCCCAGGATGCGCCGGCAGCCGGGGAGCGGCTGCAGGCGCGGGGCCTAAGGATGATATTTCCTGTCCTCCGCTCCGCGCTCCGGTGGCTGCGACAGCCCGGAGACCGTGCCTTTTCCCGCGCCGCCATGGAGGTGGCCCTCCGAGGCGTGCGGAAAGTCCTCTGTGTGGCCGAAAAAAACGACGCGGCCAAGGGGATCGCCGACCTGCTGTCCAACGGTCGCATGAGGCGGGTAAGAAAGCTCGTTCCGATCAGCTGCGTGCTTTAAGGGAGGCCCTCCGAGCCGGACAGCGTGGTGGGCGCAGCGAATCGAGATGAAGGCGATTATCTCCCATTTCTCAGGCCTCACCGCCCCTCGTCTGGGTTATTGCGGTGGCCTCCTGTCTGCTATCCGACCGGAGTGCATTTTAAAACGTAGTTGAGATATTTCACTCATTTGCTTGGAAACCTTTTGTTTTCCTTGCCCTTAGCAGGTTCCCAAACTTGTCTGATTCTCCGAACCGCCTCGGGCACTGGCTGCCCTTTGGGTCTTGTGTGAGATTGGGGAAGTCTGTATTTTACTGTTCTTCCCTCGAGATTCAGAAATTCATTTGGGGACTACTGACCAGATTCCCTTAACTTGGCGTTCAAGCCCTGCCCGATCGCTCCCCAGCCAACCTAGCCCTCCCCATCCTGTGCCACATCCACTGCGTTCTACAGCCCTTGTGACTTTCCAGCCTCACAGTACACAGTGACAGCAACACGGTAAGGTTTGGGGATTAGAGATGAAGCCAACCCTGTTCCTACCCGAATGAACTGATTCTGAGAGAGGTAAGTGGTAAGAATGTGTTCTACACACACACAGGAGGCACAAACCAAAGGAGGATAAGAAAAAGTTTCATAAAGGAGGTGCCACGGGAGACATAAAGAGCTGTCCAGGAAAATATCTCAGATAACAAAAGTAGATCCTGAAATGGTTTTCTGGAGAACTTTTCTAAGAGCGTGGGTGGAAGTTCCCTGCTCGTTTTTCTTTAGTTCCCGGGGTCCTAAGACGCGTTTCCAGTTCAAGGATAGTGGGAGTGGAGCCAGGGTTGTGTGAATGTTGGCTGACAGCTTTACCTGTTTCCAGTGCTAGAAGTCCTGGTGACCAGCCCCAAGGTTTGTCTACTTCTAGGGCTCTGTGCCTCTTGAAAAATGGTCCTCCTACACCTAACTAACTTCTTATCCTTCAAGGCTCTGCTGAATTCATTTTCTCTCTCTCTCTCTTTCTTTTTTCTAAGCAATTCAGAGGTCTTGTATTTATCTATTTTTAACCTACCATGCCATGAATCCATAGGGAATAGGTTCCAGCAGCCCAGGCTCCTTTCCATTGGTTCTCACAAGGAGTACTTCCCTCAATGGAATGGGCTGGCACTTCAGTTGAACCCTTTCTCTTTGACTTGCTTCTTCTTTGATCATTTTCTTTCACACATTTCAGGAAGGAACTTGGCTCTTAGAGGGGTTAATATGCTCAACGGAAACATTAATTCTTTTGGCAAGCATCTAGCCCTTGTTCGCAGAAGTGCCAACAGCATGCTGGGTAACATAGACTTTTCCAGTTCTGCCATGTAACATTTGTGGGTCATTGGTTTTTGAACAGTATCCATTCTCATTCAGTCCTCAAGATCACCTTCATTGTAGATTCTGGTGTCTGTGGCCAGAGGAACTCCGTGTTTTTGTTTTGTTTGTTTGTTCGTTTTGAGATGGAGTTTTGCCCTTGTTGCCCAGCCTGGAGTGCAGTGGTGTGATCTCAGCTCACTGCAACCTCTGCCTCCTGGGTTCAAGCGATTCTCCTGCCTCAGCCCCCCTAGTAACTGGGATTACAGGCACCCGCCACCATGCCCAGCTAATTTTTTGTATTTGTAGTAGAGACGGGGTTTCACCGTGTTGGCCAGGCTGTTCTCAAACCCCTGACCTCAGGCCATCCACCTGCTTAGCCTCCCAGAGTGCTGGAGTTACAGGTGTGAGCCACTGCGCCCAGCTCAAACTCCGTGTTTTCTATAAGGCCAGGAGAGCATATATCAGATGCCTCATCCTCTTTTCCTTTGTGTTCATCATTTTGGCAAATTACTCCAAGATGGCAATTCCAGCCAAAAGGAAAGACTTTTCTTGGAAGGAGAAATTTTATTATTTTTATGTACAGAAAACGCAACAGTGTGTACTTAACCCAGTTTAGTGGCAAATTCTTTAGCCTTTGCCTTTTCTAGGTTGGTAATGCAAGCTACAGATTTTGGACCCAGGGCATTGCCTCCCTTGTGACAGCAGATCTCATATGTCATTGTAATTTGTCCTGCCAGCTTCCACCAGCTTAGCCAGAGCTCCTTTGTCTTCCAGAAAGTTAACCTGTGTGAAGGTGACAGTGGTACAGGTCTTCCTGTGGAACTTGACACCCCAGTCTTGACAGTGCGGTAGAGAATCCCCATCTTAGTACACAGCGCAGGCAGGAAGACAGCCAGCTCAATGGGATCCACCACCAGCTGACCCTTCATGTTCTCTACCAAGTTGTTGGCGGTGTCAACCCCTGCTTGAAGTGTAGGTGGTCTCTTAGTAGGGACATCCCCTTTGCCGGCAGCTTTCTTCTCAGCCTGGGCCAACAGTTTCAATCTCTTCCCGTGCTGTGTCTCTTGTCTGTACTGTGGGCAAGCTTAAGCAGTTGAGTAGCTTAAGTTTGGTAGTCTGAGGCCTGGGTGAACTGGTCAATCCCAGGTGGCACATCAGCCGCTTATAGAGGACAGCGGCTCTGCCGCTGCAGCCAGTTATAGCAGGACTATTTGACAAAGTGGGTGAGGCCCTTCGGCTAGATGTCCAATGCCAAAATTCTTAGGGCTTTTTCTCAAATGAGATTTACCACCTTATTGGCCTGCTGCTCCATGACAGCGGGGGCCAGGGCCACTTTCTTCTCCTTGGCCGCCTTTCCTTTTGGCATCTTGGGCAGCTAGAGGAGAGAGGCTGCTGAAATGTCTCATCTTCAAGGAATCCTTCCCTCACCACCTCTTCCCCCACACTAGGTCAGAGACCCTTACTGACATGCTGTCATAGCACTCTATTCTACTTGAAAGGCATCTACTAGTTACAGTTAAATAATGTGCAGTCATTTATTTGATTTTTGTCACTGCCTCTCCTTGGACTCTACGCTCCAAAGGGCAGTGATTATATTTTAATTGCTATGTCCTAACGCCTGTTATGGTGTCTGGAATGCAGGAAACTTTCAATAAATATTAATACTTGGGCTGGGCGCAACAGCTCACGCCTGTAATGCCAGCTGTTTGGGAGGCTCAAGCAGGCGGATCACCTGAGGTCATGAGTTCAAGATCAGCCTGGCCAACATGGCGAAACCCCTCTCTACTAGAAATACAAAAATTAGCCAGGTGTGATGGCGGGGTCCTGTAATCCCAGCTACTCAGAAGGCTGAGGCAGGAGAATCACTTGAACCTGGGAAGTGGTGGTTGCAATGAGCCTAGATTGCACCATTGCACTACAGCCTGGGTCACAGAATGAGACTCCGTCTCAAAAAAAAAATTAGGCTGGGCATGGTAGCTCATACCTGGATTCCAGCACTTTGGGAGGCTGAGGCAGGCGAATCACGAGGTCAGGAGATTGAGACCATGAGACCATCCTGGCTAACACGGTGAAACCCTGTCTCTACTAAAAATAGAAAAAATTAGCCGGGTGTGGTGGCAGGCGCCTATAGTCCCAGCTACTTGGGAGGCTGAGGCAGGAGAATGGCGTGAACCCGGGAGGCGGAGCTTGCAGTGAGCCAAGATCGCGCCACTGCACTCCAGCCTGGGCGACAGAGTGAGACTCCATCTCAAAAAAAAAAAAGAAGAAGAAAAGTTAATACTTGTTGAAAGCATGTTTGAGCTGAGTGTGAAAGTTTTACCAGGCAGTAGAAACTGTGAAGAACAACCTAGTGGCTTGAAATAGCTTGGCATATTCAGAAACAGTGAGAAGTTAGGGATGTCGTATGGTGCAAGGAGACACCAGTGAGTTAAGCAAGAGCAGCAGTTGAGTGCATATCATAAGGGTCTTAGAGAACCATGTAGGTTGAGTGGCAAAATACACAGAAAATTGACCATTTTAATCATTTTGAAGTATACAGTTCAGTGGAATTTTGTACACTAAATGTGCCACCATCATCATTGTCTAGTTTCAGAAGGTTTTTTATCACCCCAAGAGGAAACCTCATATCCATTAAGCTGTCACTCCCCTTACCCTCTCCTCAGCCCTTCACAACCACAAATCTGCTTTCTCTCCCCATGGATTTGCCTGTTCTGGGCATTTCCTATAAGTGGACCCATATCTTACATGCTCTTTTGTGTCAGGTTTCTTTCACTTAACATAATCTTCTTGAAGTCCATCCATGTTGTGCCGTGTATTAATATTAGTTCTTCATTCCCTTTTTTTTTGGTTTTGAGATGGAGTTTCTCTCACTGTCACCCAGGCTGGAGTGCAGTGGTGCGATCTCAGCTCATTGTAACCTCCACCTCCCAGGTTCAAGTGATTCTCCTGCATCAGCCTCCCCAGTAGCTGGGATTACAGGCACCTGCCACCACACCCGGCTAATTTTTTGTATTTTTAGTAGAGACAGGGTTTCACTATGTTGGCCAGGCTGGTCTCAAACTCCTGACCTTGTAATCCACCCACCTTGGCCTCCCAAAGTGCTGGAATTACAGGCGTGAGCCATTGCGCCTGGCCTCTTCATTCCTTTTTATGGCTGAGTAGTATTCTATCATATGGATAGATCACATTTCATTTTACCATTCATCAGCTGATGGACATTTGGATTGTTTTCATCTTTTGACTATTGTGAATAGAACTTCTATAGACATTCATGTACAGGTTTTTTTTTTAATGTGTTTTTTTGTTTGCGTTTTGTTTTGTTTTTGAGACAGAGTTTCACTCTGTCACCCAGGCTAGAGTGCAGTGGCCCCATCTCCACTCACTGCAGCGTCCACCTCCTGGGCTCAAGTGATTGTTCTGCCTCAGCCTCCCAAGTAACTGGGATTACAGGCGCACACTACCACACCCGGCCAATCGTCGTATTTTTAGTAGAGACGGGGTTTCACCATGTTGGCCAGGCTGGTCTCGAACTCCTGACCTCAAGTGATCCACGTGCCTCAGCCTCCCAAAGTGTATTTGAATGTGTTTTTACTTCTTTTGGGTAAATTTCTAACAGTGGAATTACTGTGACATGTGATAACTCTATGTTTAACTTTTTGAGGAAACACCAAAATTTTCCAGAGTGGCCAAAGCATTTTACATTTCCACTGGCAATGTCCAGTTTCTCCCCATCCTCAACAACACTTGTTATTTTACTTGTTTGTTTTTTAATTCTATTTCATTATCATCCTAATGGGTGTGGAGTGGTATCTCATCATGGTTTTGATTTGTGTTTTCCTAATGATTAATAATATTGAGCATCTTTTCATATGCTTGTTGGCCATTTCTTATCTTTAGAGCAATGTTTGTTGTATTTTTGGTGTCATAACCAAGGAATCATTGCCAAATTCAGGATCAGGAAGAATTATACAGAGGAATCTGTTATTTTGAACATAATTTATATTTTTTACTTATTTTTGTTTTATAGAGAGAAGGACTTTCAAAATTCAACAAGATCTATGAATTTGATTATCACCTGTATGGCCAGGTAGGTGCTAAAATATTTTCATCATAAACAAGAGAAAGTAGTCAGCCTAGTCATATGTAGAATATGTCACTGTCTTAAGAATAACCGCTGTTAACAACCTAAACGTTCCTGGTTACAGGTGATCACTTTATAATTTATGAGGAAGTCTCTTTAATAAAATATGGTCCCATCTCAGCTCTTCATTACAAAAAAGAAAAAAAAAGCTAATATACAATAGTTTGAGGAAAATTGAACTAATGCAAGAGGCGTCGTGGTACTAGAATTGGAATGGTGATTGTATTCCTATGGCTTTTGACTTTGAAGACCTTATATTTATGTTTATTTCTTCCCAATCAGGTTTTTTAAAATGTCTTTAATAGAAGCTCCTCCCTCTCATTTGAATGACTTGGCAAAATAATAACTGTAAAAAGACTAACTGAATTTTGAATTTTGTCATCATTCAGAATGTTACCATGGTAATGACTTCGGTTTCTGGACATTTACTGGCTCATGATTTCCGGATGCAGTTTCGAAAATGGTCAGTACAATTCTCAAGGGAAGAACTTTCAGATTATAGTAAGTTGTGAAATTTCAGAGAACTTTTGAGGCATGTTGATCTTACTGGGTAATTTTTTTTTTTTTTTTTTATTGAGACAAAGTCTCAGAGTGAGACTCTGTCTTCCAAGCTGGGGCACAGTGGCATGATCTTGGCTCACGGCAACCTCTGCCTCCCAGGTTCGAGTGATTCTCCTGCCTCACCCTCCCGAGTAGCTGGGACTACAGGCACGCACCACCACAACTGGCTAATTTTTGTATTTTTGGTAGAGACAGAGTTTCACCATGTTGACCAGGCTGGTCTCAAACAAGGCGGAGTTTGCCGCCTTTTGCCTCCCAGAGTGCTAGGATTTACAGGCGTGAGCCACTGTGTCTCGGTAATTTATTTATTTGTTTGTTTATTTATTTATTTTAGTTATTTTTTGAGACGGAATCTTGTTCTGTCACCCAGGCTGGAATGCAGTGGCGCAATCTCGACTCTTTGCAACCTCTGCCTCCTGGGTTCAAGCAATTCTCCTGCCTCAGCCTCCCGAGTAGCTGGGACTACAGGCGCCCGCCACCATGCCAGCTAATTTTTTGTATTTTTGTTAGAGACAGGGTTTCACCCTGTTAGCCAGGCTGGTCTAGATCTCCTGACCTCGTGATCTACCTGCCTTGGCCTCCCAGCATGCTGGGATTGCAGGTGTGAGCCACCGCACCCAGCAGTAATTTATAATACTAAGATGACCTAGGATTATCTGATCCATTGTGAATTTTTATTAAATCTTTAAACAGTCACTTTTGGTGTTCCCTCAAAATTGCCAGGCCTTTTTCATGCAGCCATTGGATTGCATTTACCTGTAAAAGGGCTCCAGAATGCCATCTTATCCGTCCTGTTCACACTCGTGGAGAAGTGGACAGTGTTTCATGCAGAGGGTCATAGCCTTGCTTTCAGTTCACCGGGACCTTTTCTTTTGGGGATACACCATGAACCCATTGAAAGTTTGCTGTCATTAGATTGGAGGGCTCTCTGTCATGTACTGAGTTGGAACTCTGTTTTCATGTCTTTTCTAGGCAGAGCTGCAACCCTCTTGTCCTCTTTGAAGCAGAAATTGAAAAGTACTGCCCAGAGAATTTTGTAGACATCAAGGTAGGGTCTTTTGGAAGACATATAGCACTGAACAACCAAAGAGTCAAACAGAGTGATATCTTTATTTTTAATGCATTGGCATTTGGAGATAAGGTTTTCCACCAAACTCACTACCATGATTTAAAAAGCTGGTTCCCACCCATTGTATAAATGTGGCCAAGTGGCCAAGAAACTGAAGTAAACATTTTTTCATGAATAGTAGTTGTTTAAATCCTAGGAATAAGAGCTGGACATGGTGGTTTATGCCTGTAATCCCAGCAATTTGTGGGGCCAAGGCAGGATCACAACCCCAGGAATTTGAGACCAGCCTAGGCAACATAGTGAGACTCTATCTCTCCAAGTAAAAAAGAAAATTAACCAGGCATGGTGATGTACGCCTATAGACCCAGCTAATAGTAAGGCTGAGGAAGGAGGATTACTTGAGCCTAGGAGGCAGGAGGTTGACGCTGCAATGAGCTGTAATCACACCACCACACTCCAGTCTGGTGAGAAAGCGAGACCCTATCTCAAAAAATAATCCTAAGTATTGTAAACTATTAGTGCTAGCCCCCATCTCACCCCTTGTTAAATGTAAGAGGCTACAAAGTATAAATGCCTGTTTGACAGTAAATTGCCAGTTGTCAAGCAGTCAGGGCATGCGTAGTTAATTTATTTTAAATTTTTATTTATTTATTTATTTATTTATTTTGAGATGAAGTCTCGCTCTTGTCCCCCAGGCTGGAGTGTGATGGCGCAATCTCAGCTCACTGCAACCTCCGCCTCCAGGTTCAAGTGATTCTTTTGCCCCAGCCTCTGGAGTAGCTGAGATTGCAGGCGCCTGCCACCACACCCAGCTAATTTTTGTATTTTTAGTAGAGATGGGGTTTCATGATGTTGACCAGACTGGTCTCGAACTCCTGACCTCGGGTGATCCACCCGCCTCAGCCTCCTAAAGTGCTGGGATTACAGGCGTGAGCCACTGAGCCCGGCCAGTTAATTTATTGAGAACTAATAAACCTTTGGATGAAATTCATTTGGGATTCGTTTTGTTTTGTTTTGTTTTGTTTTGAGACGGAGTCTTGCTGTGTCGCCCAGGCTGGAGTGCAGTGGCGTAATCTCAACTCACTGCAAGCTCCGCCTCCCGGGTTCAGGCCATTCTCCTGTCTCAGCCTCCTGAGTAGCTGGGACTACAGGCGCCTGCCACCACGCCTAGCTAATTTTTTGTATGTTTAGTAGAGACGGGGTTTCACCGTGTTAACCAGGATGGTCTCAATTCCTGACCTCATGATCCACCCCCTTCAGCCTCCCAAAGTGCTGGGATTACAGGCGTGAGCCACCGTGCCGAGCCGGGGTTCGTTTTTTTTAACCAGGTCATAATCAGAACCGCTCGAAGTGTGTGTGTGTGTGTTAGAGCTGAATATTAGGTTTCGTCATATTGGGGAAGTCATATTAAACCCTCTATTCGGCCGGGTGCGGTGGCTCAAGCCTGCAATCCCAGCACTTTGGGAAGCCGAGACGGGCAGATCACGAGGTCAGGAGATCGAGACCATCCTGGCTAACACGGTGAAACCCCGTCTCTACTAAAAAATACAAAAAACTAGCCGGGCGAGGTGGCGGGCGCCTGTAGTCCCAGCTACTTGGGAGGCTGAGGCAGGAGAATGGTGTAAACCTGGGAGGCGGAGCTTGCAGTGAGCTGAGATCCGGCCACTGCACTCCAGCCTGGGCGACAGAGCAAGACTCCGTCTCAAAAATAAATAAATAAATAAATAAACCCTCTATTCTAGAAACTCATTTGTGGTTCTAAGGGGTTGTATGATCATTAGGACCAATGAGAGCAGTTTTCCCTGGTCTCTTTCCTTCGCCAAGTTGTCACACTCCAAGAATATTATTAACCTTCAGTCAGATCCCCTTAGCATAGAGGTGTCAAGTCACTGTTCTGCAATTCTGTTCTCGCCACTCTTATTCCACTGTGAACTTCAGAAAACTCTGGAACGAGAGACTCGCCAGTGCCAGGCTCTGGTGATCTGGACTGACTGTGATAGAGAAGGCGAAAACATTGGGTTTGAGATTATCCACGTGTGTAAGACTGGTAAGTGCTGCTGCTGCTGACTTTCTCTACTTTGGGATTCCATAAACAGAGTGTTCTCATTTGTATGTGCAAGTGAGCCACGAATGAGTTCCTCTGCAGATACTTTCCCTGTCAGTCTGTGAGTCCCACTAGCCATGTGTCCTGGAGCAAATCACTGAGCCATTGGGAGCCTCGACTTCCTTGTCTGTAACATCAGGCCAATCCAACATGTTTCCTGGGACTGCCACAGAGATTAGATGAGTTAATGCGTGATGTAAACCATTTAGACCAGGACTCATTCCTTGTTAGGTACAAGCATACAAGCAGATACCCAGCTTCTTGAAAACAGGGACTTTATATTCTTTTTGTTGTTGTTGTTGTTGTTGTTGTTATATATTGAATTATTTTAGTATTTGGTTAATGAAAACAAAAATAGAAAAATAAAATTACATATTGAATATGTGTAAAAGAGTGAATATACCACAAGTAAAGTACAAAGAATAATTACAAAATGTTCTGTTTTCTTTTTTAATCTCTCCTATTATACAGTGCTCGACTATTAATAAATAATTGTTGCAGTGGATTTAAAGGCTCTCGCCGTGTTAATGGTTTTGGGTAACTTAGAGGAAGTGATGAACGGGCCGGCATTCTCTAGCTCAGAGGGTGGGGTTGCTATTTTCGTTTAGTGGTTTTGTGTTCAGTGCTGTAATGACTCCTGGAAATTTAAGTGCATTAACTTTCAAGGACAGTGTGTATATGTCCTATATTCCTTCCTGAAGGGGCATGAAATTCCCCCCTGGAACCCTTTAATTGATAGTATTTTTCTTTTCCCAAAAGGCCTGAGAGAGCAAGTAAGATTAAAGTCTCAAAAGGCAGCCAGGCACAGTGGCTCATGCCTGTAATCCCAGCACTTTGGAAGACTGAGGCAGGTGGATCTCCTGAGGTCAGGTGTTCGAGACCAGCCTAGTCAACGTGGTAAAACCCTGTCTCTACTAAAATTACAAAAATTAGCCAGGTGTGGTGGCATGTGCCTGTAGTCCCAGCTACTCAAGAGGCTGAGGCAGGAGAATTGCTTGAACCCAGGAGGCAGAGGTTGCAGTGAGCCGAGATTGTACCACCGCACTCCAGCCTGGGTGACAGAGTGAGACTGTCTCCAAAAAAAAAAAAAAAAAAAAAAAAAAAAAAAAAAAAAAAAACAATGCTCACCAAGAGCATTTTAGTATTTTAGTTACGGAAGGGGGCATGGGTATTTCTCGCAAGGTGGAGACGAGAGACTGAGAAAAGAAATAACACACACAGAGACAAAGTATATAGGAAGAAAAGTGGGCCCAGGGGACTGGTGCTCAGTAAGTGAGGACCTACACTGCTGCTGGTCTCTGAGTTCCCTCAGTATTTATTGATCACTATCTTTACTATCTCGGCGAGGGGAATGCGGTATGATTGTAGGGTGATGGTGGGGAGAGGGTCAGCAGGAAAACATGTGAACAAAAGACTCTGTGTCATAAATAAGTTTAAGGAAGGGTACTGTGCCTGGATGTGTACATAGGCTAGATTTATGTTTAACTTTACATAAACATCTCAGCGCAGTAAAGAGTAACAGAGCAGTATTGCCACCATGATGTCTCGCCTCCAGCCGTACAGCGGTTTTCTCCTATCTCAGAATATAATATATGGTCGGTTTTACACCGAGTCATTCCATTCCCAGAGACGTGCAGGAGACAGATGCCTTCCTCTTACCGCAACTGCATAGAGACCTTACTCTTTCACTAATCCTCCTCAGCACTGACCCTTTACGAGTGTCAGACTGGGGGGCTGTAAGGTCTTTCCCTTCCCACGAGGCCATATCTCAGGCTGTCTCAGTGGGGGGAAACCTGGACAATACCCAGGCTTTCTTGGGCAGGAGTCCCTGCGGCCTTCCGCAGTGCATTGTGTCTCTGGTTAATAGAGAATGGAGAATGGTGATGTCTTTCACAAAGTGTACTGCCTACAAACACATTTTTGACAAAGCACATCCTGCACAGCCCTAAATCCCTTAAACCTTGAGCCAATACAGCACATGTTTTTGTGAGCACAGGGTTGGGACAAGAGTCACAGATTAACAGCATCTCAAAGCACAACAATTTTTCTTAGTACAGATCAAAATGGAGTTTCTTTATGTTTTCCTTTTTCTACATAGACAAAGTAACAATCTGTCTCTCTCTCTTTTCCCCACAGTTACTAGCTAAGATTAGCTCCATCACTATTTTTGAGAGTATACTCAGTTTAAAGGTTATGGTGGTGTTTCCTCTTTAGACACTGTACACCATTGATTTAACCTAATAGGTAAATTGGTCACCTCACAGCTTCTTGAACTGGTTTGCCTTTATTTCAAGGGGCTTTAAGAAAAGTGAGTCCTTTATGATGGAGAGCAGTGTGGTTTGACTTTGACCTTGGTAACGCCTTGTGTTCTGCAGTAAAGCCCAATCTGCAGGTGTTGCGAGCCCGATTCTCTGAGATCACACCCCATGCCGTCAGGACAGCTTGTGAAAACCTGACTGAGCCTGATCAGAGGGTGAGCGATGCTGTGGATGTGAGGCAGGAGCTGGACCTGAGGATTGGTGAGGAGCTAGGCAGACCCCCCCATGGCCTCATTAATGTTGTGTTATGGGACCAAAAATGGGCTCTGTGTAGATATGTGCAGCCAGCCCTGAACTCTTATTAGCCACCATTTTTACCTTCCTTCACTCTCCAGGAGCTGCCTTTACTAGGTTCCAGACCCTGCGGCTTCAGAAGATTTTTCCTGAGGTGCTGGCAGAGCAGCTCATCAGTTACGGCAGCTGCCAGTTCCCCACATTGGGCTTTGTGGTGGAGCGGTTCAAAGCCATTCAGGCTTTTGTACCAGAAATCTTCCACAGAATTAAAGGTAGGGCCTGGAGTGGGGGTTATGGCCTGGGACCTATGGGCCCAAGGTTAAGGAAGGGGACTGTGAACGTTAATAGCACTAATAAAGATGTAATTTATTTTAGTCTTGCTGTCATCCTCCCTGGCCCATTACAATCCTCTTAAAGTTCCCTTTGTTATCCGGAAATTCTTCCTTATTTGATATTCCTTTGACTTTCACCACCTTTTCCTATCTGTCATATCATGTGGCTTCTCTGAGACACAGATAAACCTTTTCCTATCTGTCATATCATGTGGCTTCTCTGAGACACAGCCTTTCTGTTTGTCTCTCCTTAATATAGTAACTCATGACCACAAAGATGGTATCGTAGAATTCAACTGGAAAAGGCATCGACTCTTTAACCACACGGCTTGCCTAGTTCTCTATCAGTTGTGTATGGAGGTAAGAAGTCCTTCGAACCCTTAATGATCTAGGAAACATTCTGCACACCTCCCAAATCACTCCCACTGTTGGCAGAGGTGATCTGTCTCATTCTCCCATTGGTCTTTAGCTTTAAGTTTGCATCTCGGGATCACTTTGGGGACCAGTAAGACTAGAACCCCCTGAAAACAGCACTAAAAGGAAAAGGGAAGTATCTGCATTCTTTTTAGATAAAATCAGAAATTTTGGGAAATGTATAGTTGAAATCCCCTCTTGTGGCATATACTGTCACCAGAAATTATCAAGGATTAGCTAGACCAGTCCAGGTCATTGACTTACAGAGCTAGGAGAGAATGGACAGCGTTTGGCTCAGCCCCCTCTTTGTTGGTCGCGTGAGGAAATCTAGAGAAGTGAAAGTCACAAATTAGTGGGTTAATTTTATATACTGATAAAAGCTAGGAAGAAAATAAGGCAAGGGAAAGGGATAGAGAAAGGCTGGAGGGACAGGGAGGGGAGGGGTTACACTTGAGCAGAGGCTGGAGAGATTAGGGAGAGGGCTGGAGGGTGGGTGGGACATGCATGTGCTATAGAAGGGAGCAAGACTGGCCCGGGCCATAGGCCAGTCAGTGGCAGAGTTAGGACCCACCCTAACGTTTCCTAGCCCTTGGGCTGTATGGTTTCCTTTCTGATGTCACTTCCTGTTAGCACATAACAGCCTGGTTTAACCCAGGGACTGCACAGAGTCATGCTTAAGTAAAATTCCGAGCTCTCTAGGCTTAATTCATGGTGTGCTTCTGGCTGCAGCCCACTGGCAGATTTGTTACTAATTAGGCAAGGGATGTGATAACTGTGCAGCACCCACTATGGACCAGGCACACTTTGTTATGTGTTATTTTGTTTAATCCTAATAATTCCTGTGAAGGCAGTGATAGCATCCCCATTTTCCAGATGAAGAAGATAAAGAAAGTGAAGAGACTTACCCATAGACACGTGAGAGCTGTACATGGCAGAGCACAACCGAATCCCAGTGTGTCCCTGCCCCTTCTGCAGACCGTGCTGCCGTCTCCATCTCTCTCTCACTCCACCTTTGACCCTGGACCACTGGGAGTCTCTGTAACACTGCACAATTATTTGTTAAATAAAAAGACCACCAGCCAAGGTTTCATAGTGAAACCCCATCTTTACAAAAAAGAAAAAAATTAGCTGGGCATGGTGGCACCTGCATATAGTTCCATCTACTTGGGAGGCTGAGGTGGGAGAGTTGCTTGAGCTCAGCAGGTTGAGGCTGCAGTGAGCCATGATTATGCCGCTGCACTTCAGCCTGGGTGACAGAATGAGATACTGCCTCAAAAAAAAAAAAAAAGATCAACTTAAGTAATAATAAAATATAAAAGTAAGTAATAAAAAGGCCTGCCCTGTTTCTCCTTCACTCAGATGTGGTACGGGACTACGTGGTGGGCGATGCAAACTATGAAGTTGGTTTTAAGATTAAAGGTCTCTAGCTTGTATTATATAATTTCTCCTATTTCTTTTTTTCTTTTCCCTGAGACAGAGTCTGGCTCTGTCGCCAGGCTGGAGTGCAACAGCACGATCTCAGCTCACTGCAACCTCTACCTCCTGGGTTCAGGCGATTCTCCTGCCTCAGCCTCCCCAGTAGCTGGCACTACAGGCATGCGCCAACACACCTAGCTAATTTTTGTGTTTTTAGTAGAGATGGGTTTTCACCATGTTGGCCAGGATGGTCTAGCTCTCTTGACCTTGTGATCCGCCTGCCTCAACCTCCCAAAGTGGTGGGATTGCAGGCGTGAGCCACCGCACCCGGCAATTTCTCCTGTTTCTAACTCTGTATTATCCTGAATTTTTTTTTTTTTTAAAGGAGCACTGGGCCAAGCATGGTGGCTTATGGGAGTATTGCTTGAGCCCAGGACTTCTGGGTCAGACTGGGTAACATAGCAAGACCCCATCTCTGTATTTTAAACAAAACAACAACAGAAGGAGCACTGTGCATGTGTACATAGAAAACTGTACTCAGGCAATGCATAGGCTATTGGATTTCATAGTCTCTGGAGGAAGCACCTTAAGGCTTGTGAAATTGCCCTTCGCAATCTTGGTTTGAGTGGGAAAGTAGTGATGGTGTCTATCTTGCTGTCAGCTACAAGCGACATTAAGTGGGCACTCTCCTAGGCTGTCACTGCAGGCCTAGCTAGTGGTCGTCAGTTTGATCTGGAAGGACTGGCATGGGCTATCCACAGGAAGGATGGGGATGATGCACTAACAGGTTAACATGGTCTTTTCTTTCCTGGCTTTCTAGGATCCCATGGCAACTGTGGTAGAGGTCAGATCTAAGCCCAAGAGCAAGTGGCGGCCTCAAGCTTTGGACACTGTGGTATGTTCCGGACAGGCTGTTTCAGGCACTGGGGAAACACTGTTTTGAGGCTGTGGTTCTACTGCCTAGACTGTGGCTTGGTGGAAGAAAATATCACCTATCACCAGGCCACACAAGAAAATGCTTGAGAAAGACACGGTCCTGCTTAGCCTTACTGTTTGTTTGTTTTGTTTGTTTTGTTTTTGTAGACTCAGACTTCTGGGCTCAAGAGATCTCCCACCTCAACCTCCCAAGTAGCTCGGACTATAGCCATGTGCCATGATGACTAGTTAATTATTTTTATAATTTTTTTGTAGAGACGGAATCTCACTATGTTGACCAGGCTGGTCTCAAACTCTTGGCCTCAAGTGATTCTCCAGCCCCAGCCTCCCAAAGTACTGGGATTACAGGCATAAGCCACCACACCCAACCACTGCCTGGCCTCTTAATGGTTTTTTTTTTCTTTTTGAGATTTTTTTGAGATTTTGTTTTTTGAGATGTTGCCCAGGCTGGAGTGCAATGGTGCGGTCTTGGCTTACCACAACTTCCGCCTCCCGGGTTCAAGCGATTCTCCTGCCTCAGCCTCCCAAGCAGCTGGGATTATAGGCATACACCACCATCAGGTGATCTGCCCACCTCAGCTTCCCAAAGTGCTGGGATATCAGGCATGAGCCACCGTGCCTGGCTTTTTTGTTGTTGTTGTTGTTGTTGTTAACAACTGCGGCCGGGCGCAGTGGCTCAAGCCTGTAATCCCAGCACTTTGGGAGGCCGAGACGGGTGGATCACGAGGTCAGGAGATCGAGACCATCCTGGCTAACACGGTGAAACCCCGTCTCTACTACAAAATACAAAAAACTAGCCGGGCAAGGTGGTGGGCGCCTGTAGTCCCAGCTGCTCGGGAAGCTGAGGCAGGAGAATGGCGTAAACCCGGGAGGCGGAGCTTGCAATGAGCTGAGATCCGGCCACTGCACTCCAGCCTGGGCAACAGAGCGAGACTCCGTCTCAAAAAAAAAAAAAAAAAAAATGCAATATAACTGCATTGCATGAGATTTGGGAAACAAAAAGAGGAAGACAGCCATCCTTACATAATTACTGGTATCTCTTCCAGTTTTTTAATATGCATGTTTTTACAGCATTATAACTAAAGTAGCTTGTGTTTTCCACACAAGCATTTTTTCATGTTGCTGCATAATCTGTGTAAATATTACTTTAAATTATCTGCTATATGAACCTACTTTAGAACAGGGCTTCTCAAATTATTTGACCCCAGGAAGAGCCACCCTGACGGAACACAAGCCTGAGTAAATCACATTAGGAGTATGCCTTCTCAGTCACCACTTAGCAGGAAAATTTGGGATAGAATTACTATTAGAATTCACTCTGAAGGTTGGACGTACAGAACACTAAGGCTAACAAGCATGCAGGCTAAGAAGCACACAGGGACTGGTGGGCAGTGCATTCTTTGTCTTGGGCAAGCCACAGTAAATGTGTATATGTGTGGAGGGATTGCATGGGGGCAGTTATGCATTTTGTTTGCTTGTTTGTTTGTTTATTTTTTGAGAGGGAGTCTTGCTCTGGTCACCAGGCTGGAGTGCAGTGGCATGATCTCGGCTCACTGCAGCATCCATCTCCCGGGCTCAAGCGATTCTCCTGCCTCAGCCTCCTGAGTAGCTGGGACTACAGGTGCATGCCACCACACACGGCTAATTTTTATATTTTCAGTAGAGACAGGATTTCACCATGTTGGCCAGGATAGTCTCAATCTCTTGAACTCGTGATCTGCTTGCCTTGGCCTCCCAACGTACTGGGATTAGAGGCACGAGCCACCACGCCCAGCTGCATTGATTTTATATAGTAGGCTTATGTTTTTTAGTCCTCACTGGTTAAGTATGCTTTAGTGTGACATATAGTCATCAGCACTGTTAACTTGTCACCTAGGGAAAAAAACATCTGTTATCCCCCAGGAGGCCTCCTGGGGTTTTCACCCTCTAGGAGAATTTACCAGGGCTTGGGTGGTGTTCCCAAAGTGTGGTTCTCAAGACTGTCTGTGTTTGAACAGTGTATTAGATGGCTTTGTTAAAAAATGTAGATTTCAGCCTGGGCACAGTGGCTCAGGCCTGTAATCCCAGCACTTTGGGAGGCTGAGGCGGGCAGATCACGAGGTCAGGAGATCGAGACCATCCTGGCTAACATGGTGAAACCCCATCTCTACTAAAAATACAAAAAATCAGCCAGGTGTGGTGGCAGGTGCCTGTATTCCCAGCTACTCGGGAGGCTGAGGCAGGAGAATTGGCATGAACCCAGGAGGCAGCGCCTACAGTGAACCGAGATCGCGCCACTGCACTCCAGCCTGGATGACAGAGTGAGACTCCATCTGAAAAAAAAATATATATATATATATATAAAATATATATATATATATATATATATATATGTAGATTACTGGGCCAGAGGCGGTGGCTCACGCCTGTAATCACAACATGGCAAAACCCCGTCTCTACTGAAAACACAAAAATTAGCCAGC